CGGTCCTCAACTGAGTGAGCAATTTTGACGTTTGATGATGTTTTGTGGACATTCTACACAGTGACGAGTTCTCTTTTTCGACTTTTTAGCCCCATCAACTTTCTTACTTGGTAAAGAAGGGAAGGGGAGAGTGGGGGGGGAGGCGTTTTGTTACGAGTTTTTTTTTCTTTTTTTTTAATCTGTTCAAATTATAGCCTTGTGTAATCACAGTCGTTTGGTTGTTACTTTCCACCAGAAGAAGAAAAAGTGATTTCTTTCCGGAGCGCCAATGACACCTGCCAAAAGATTCTACGGCCTTCGAGGTATTGGCTGTGATTTTATTTTTATACTGTGTAACAGCAGTACAAAAACGCATATTGTCACGGGGTTGTCTGTGTGTTTGTATGTGTGTCGGCAGCAACTTGTCCGCAACTTTCAACTCGAAAACCACAAAAGCTAGAAAGCTGAAAATTTAGGGGAACGTCTCCCACCCACGTGTGACCTCGCAAATTTAAATTCAGTTTACGCGTACCCGCGGATAACACGTATGACCCCGTGAAAGTTTTTTACGGGTAAATTAATATCTCGGGAACCACGGAAGCCAAAATTTTATCGGTATGTTCGCTGCCCACGTGTGACCCAAAAATTTTAAATTCAGCCTCCCCGCACTCGCCGGTAACATATACGGCCCCGTGAAAGTTTTGCTGGGGAATTTGTTATTTCGGGAATCACGGAAGCTAGAAAGCTGAAATTTTAATGGGTATTTCCCCTACTACGTATTATCCAGGAAATTAAATTCAGAGCAGTGAAAGTCATTAGCAGGCAGTCGTTTGGTGGACGGAATTGCACAAAACGCATGATCGCATCGGCTGCCGTGGTGCGCGCCGCTATTTATCTTATTTTTCTCGAACATTCGCGAAACTCATGACGTTTGGATGCCTGGCGGTTGTAGATAGTTCATGCTGTTTGGGGACACAAAAATGACCACAAAGCGGGCCGTGAAGAATTACCGCCTGATCTGCTTGCTTTCCCATATTGGCAGCGGGATGGCCAAATGCCGCCTTGCGAGACTGTTCAGTGATTTTCTGGATTTTAAAAGCGTTGCGAAATCGCGCTCTCGTTTTAAATTGCTGCTACTGCAGGGGAGTTTTCCGACAGCTACGGGAAAAGATGCTGATAGCCGCTGCCGCCGCCAGGAGTGAGGAGGGAAAAAACTGCATGAATGTGGTCAATGAACAGAGAGCATTCCTCCACCCGTAAGCTGATCACGGAAGGCTTGCTACAACGGAGCGACGATTGCTGTCTGTTTTCTGAGCTTCTTTCAAGATGCTACTCTGTGAAGTCTGCTCGAGGGTCACTTGAAAATCGGTGGTCCCTTGCAGGAGCTCAACGCACGAAGCAAGGAACTAGGGCCGAGAATTAGCGCAGCGAGTGATGCCCAGTGGGGCTGCTGTAGCTATTGTACCTTGCTTCTATTTGTACCTCCGTGATATCGAAAGCTTCGCACTGATCGACGAACAAAATTTGTTTGAGAGGCCGGCCCGCATGTTATGCTGCTGCATTGCAAATGTTCAGCGCGTTCTCGGCAATATTCTCGTTTCTAGTGGTTGGGAGGTGGTGAGTGATGGGTGCCCAGATGAGGCAGAATTTGGGGCAAGATAGAGAAGGGGAACGGGGATGCAGTCTGAGTGATGAGGAACTGAAGCAAGCATTTTGCAGCGTCTTCTTCGAAGCTATCCCGAAGACAGGCAGCGGCGATGACAAATGGTGTTGGCAAAAGTCCGCCTGAGCGCTTTTCACCATCGCCCTGTCGAACACGGTTGGCATTTATCACGAAATACGACGACACTGATTGCCTGAAAGCACCGTGCAAAGTCTGGTAGTATTCAGCGAGCTAGCCATCTCTGTTAATTCCTATTCTACCAACTGCTTGGATAAGTACGCGGGGTGTAGTGATGCTTATTTCACGCAGACAACGCGTGTGCAGTTGCCCAAGGTCAGCGGTGAATTACATGAAATGATGGAATAGGAGATATGGGATCAATCCACATATCATGTGCAAGAAGAAATTTTAGGATGCAGTCTATGTTTCATCCCTTAGCCGCAAACACAGACCGAACGCAGCCTGCGGATGGGAGTGGGAATCATCAGTACAGCCTCCTACTTGCCGTATGTATGGCGAACATTTAGTAAATAGTATAAAAAAAAAGAAGAGAGAAGCTGCATAGGCAAAATATGTGCGTTAGAAAGCGTTGCTGTTTTGCAGAGAAGCAGTAGTCAATTGAGTTGACATTCTTTCAGACAGCACTGCAACGGAACTTCACCTCAGCGAACCTGGCAGGTGCCCGAGCGTACAATAATGCAAACACGGCGTAGCTCAGCAGCTGCAGCTACTACTCATCAAAAAGCAGTGAAGTCGTCCTCTGTTGCAACAGCGACACCTACAACACCACGTATGTTTGAAACTGCTTCTAGCTTTCGTGTTCTTAAGCATGTCGGGGAATTTTTGAATGTAAATTTCCGCGGGGAAACAGCTCTTTTCGGAGTTTTCACCCGTCTGATTTGCTTTTTATCTTTTTTGCT